GCAAAAGTGCCCATGGTCACTATTATGGGGATCTACGTTGGTTGCTGTCCGTCTACAGTCCATTCTTTTTATCGTATTGACTTTCATTATATATTGTACATGGGATGTCTTGCCGTCCTGTGCTGACACATTTTAACATGAGACTATATATATTATTTATGTATAACTTGTTTTAGTCACTGTGTTACTAAAAAAATAACTCTCCGTAGTAAAGTATCGGCAGACGCAGTAAAAAGATTAGCATACTCCGCCTATCTATCACGTCAACGCCGATATGTCACCAAATAAAGTCACGGGGAATATCACGTGAATTGTTCAAGAAAGGTATACACAGAATATCCACGTTCAATAAATGACCCTTGTATATTGAATTTTTGTCATTTTATCGTTACGTTCATTACGACTAGTCCCCTTGATCCCCAGTAAGGTGGTCAAACTTTATGTGGTTTATAGCATATCCCCCCATTTTACTGTCATTTTGCGGGGGTATTTTAAAATGGACCTTGTTTTCATCGCGTCCGTCCGTCCGTAAAATTTGCACATTTGTCTTTTCGAGCAGAACTCTAAAACCGTTTTCAATATTTCTTCACCAAACTTGGCAAACATACATGGATCTGGTGGTGTACTGGTGCCTTTTGGTAGTTTTGGAATTCTGAATTAAATATTTTTGGCGTTTCCATGGCAAAAAGGTCGACTTTGACTGAAATTTGTGGTTGTGCTCTTTTCCGGAGCAGAACTCTAAAACCGTTCAATATTTCATCACCAAACTTGGCACATAGATAGATCTGGTGGTGTACTTGTGCCTTTTGATAGTTTTGGAATTCTGAATAAAATATTTTTGGCGTTTCCATGGCAACAAGTTCGACTTAGACTGAAATTGGTGGTAGTGCTCTTTTCCGGAGCAGAACTCTAAAACTGTTCAATATTTCTTCACCAAACTTGGCACATAGATAGATCTGGTGGTGTAGTGGTGCCTTTTGGTTGTTTTGGAATTCTGAATAAAATATTTTTGGCATTTCCATGGCAACAAGTTTCACTTAGCCTGGAATTGGTGGTACGTGCAAATTTGTCTTTTCCGGAGCAGAACTCTAAAACCGTTCAATATTTCTTCACCAAACTTGGCACATAGATAGATCTGGTGGTGTACTGGTGCCTTTTGGTAGTTTTGGAATTCTGAATAAAATATTTTTGGCGTTTCCATGGCAACAATTTTCACTTAGCCTGAAATTGTGGTTGTGCTCTTTTCCGGAGCTGAACTCTAAAACTGTTCACTATTTCTTCACCAAACTTGGCACATAGATAGATCTGGTGGTGTACTGGTGCCTTTTGGTAGTTTTGGAATTCTGAATAAAATATTTTTGGCATTTCCATGCCAACAAGTTTGACATAGAATGAAATTGGTGACAGTGCTCCTTTCTGGAGCAGAACTTTCAAAACCTTTCAATACTCTCCTTCCACTTTTCTATATACACACATAAATATTTGACATAATCATAACTCGTAGACATAATCATGAAGAGTATTTTGCCATTGATGACTTTGTCTTCGGGGATATTGATGACTTTGTCTTCTTCATCTCTTTACCTAGACGGGTTGTAGACAGCTCGGTTCTAACAATCGGCTGGTCACGCTAGGCCCGGCCCTGTGCATAGTAAATAATTTTGCACATTCAAGTCATCATTGGGTCTTGGCCATTTCGATTTTTCCTAATTTACAAATTATTGATACATTGAATTGCCAAAGAGTCCAATGCCAGAAGTTGGTGGCTCATGGGCCAATCTGGTGATGCCGACCTCCCAAAAAAACATCATACTGATCCGTCTAATAAAAGACCAATATATTCAACGAGTTGTGTCTTGAGAAAAACCATGAAATGAATGATAAATAAAAGATTATCGTGGTATCTGAAACCTAATAACATAATCATAAATAGAAAATGCGGTTTCATAAAGTTCTATTAATCATTTAGTACTATTGGGTTACTGTGTTAAGAATGCTATTGTAACTTAACATTTTTCTTTGATCTGGAGAAGGCATACGATTCTACTTAAAGGATTTCAGTGATTTTGGTTTGAGAGGTCGTTTAACTCAACTAATATCACAGTCGTTTACAGGCAGGTAATTTTAAGTCTGAGTGAGTTCAACCCTGTCTGGCCATTACAATCAGGATCAGTGGTGTGAGCGAGTTTTCTAGTCACACCGGCAGTATTTCAGCCGTATAGTGACCAAAACAAGTTTTACAATCAGGATCAGAGTATGAGGCATCTGAATAATAGATAGAAAATAATATAATTGCAGTCGGGCTGTTGTAGTGCTCGTTTACAGTCAATGCATGTTAATCTGGCAAGTAGCCAGACTCATTTACATTTATATGTTGATCACGCTCAGTCCCGTTTTTAATGACACTGACATTGAGTGCGAGGTAAAACCAGTCGCTGAGTGACAACCGAGATACAGGCACGTGTAGCGGCAAGGTAGGAGTCATCATCATCATCATCATCATCATCATCATCATCATCATCATCAAAATCAGGTATGAATGCGTGAACGAAAAGAGGATACAATTTCTTAAAAATTCGTAGCATTTACCTGTCTACCTGCATAGATTATCTTAAACCCCAAGTGGAAAAGATCAGTAACATATATGTGTATACCTATACTGGGACTTTTTTAGAATTGTAATATCTATTTCTTTTTTTTTAACTTTTCTCTCATTTTGTATGCATAATAGATAAAAAGAGCAAGAATGTTTATGCCTTCAGTTGTTGTTGTTTTAAGGATATTGCTAAACGATATCATACTAACGTGCAAATTCTTAGGCAGAAATCTACTCGAAGGTGATATTCATCTTCTAAATCTACTTTACATACAGGACAATTTCTTTGAGATACATCAAGATTATTCTTTAAACATAAGAAACCAGCTCTAAATTTGACCAATACTTGATGACAGATACCCCTTTGGCTCACGAAATATCTTATATTCTGTATATAACTTATAACGTGAACTGGCACCCGTGAAGAGCCACCTCCTGGTAACGCTAAGAGTTCTTCAATCCCCCCGTGTGGACCCGGGTGCATATTTGGTCCACCATCCTGTTTGCCGTGGGTTGCGCCCCTGTGTCGATGGAGGACGGGATTCTGGTGGTTGGGGACACTTGTTCCAGGAATAGCGTTCTTTTGCCCCACACAACTTCGCCCCTTACTTCAAGTAGACGGGTGGTAGAATGGGCCCGGTTCTATCAATCGGCTGGTCATGCCAGGTCCTGTTCATGGATTTTATGTAATTGCATAAAATTTGATTTAGGAATTGTTTAAATTTTGGTCTTGGCGCCCCTGTTCATAGAACAGCATTTGACTATAATATATATTTATCATGAACTCGGTGTCTTATGCTCTAAAGTCGGTGGCTCAAGGGCCAATCTGGTTGAAAGTTAATATTTTAGCTTTTTCTGCTGGAGTATATCATCCGGGTATCCTTGGTGCTACAAGCAGGAAATCCAATTGGTATTAATATTGTCTTTACGATACTCCGTGGTGGGTGGGAGCTCGGGTGGTGAGCCATATTACCAACAAACATAGAATACCAAACCCCTTAAAAAACAAATGTCCACTGGAAAATGAAGATGGGCAACGACCTTTAACGTCTGTAGAACATTGGTCACGGTTTTTATTGATTGAGACAGTTGACAAAACATGTCTCAAATTGAACCCTTTTGCAATACCTAAGGGTGAGTGAGTGAGTTTGGTTTTACGCCGCTTTTAGCAATATTCCAGCAATATCACGGCGGGGGACACCAGAAATGGGCTTAACACATTGTACCCATGTGGGGAATCGAGCCTGGGTCTTCGGCGTGACGAGCTAACGCCTTTACCACTAGGCTACCCCACCGCCCCCAATACCTAAGGGTGTTCAAGGCATAGCTGGTGAGGTTAAAAACGTCAGACGATTAAGATCAGTTTTTGCTAATAGAATGCAACAGGAAGCAACAATCCACCAACCTCATGTCAATAGTTTCGTTTGTCGGTGTTCCTGATTCAGTTACAGCTCATAAAACACTCAATACCAGTACAGGAATTGTTCGAGACAGGGATCAGTTTTTTATTGATATGACTGAGGCTGAAATAGTGTTTGAGATGCGAGATCAAGGAGTTATGTATGATAAACGGTTCTCCACACGAAAGAACTCACAAACACAACCTAAATGCTACGAAATTGTTTCCTCTTTTCGTTCACGCATTCATACCTGATGATGATGATGATGATGACTCCTACCTTGCCGCTACACGTTGTATCTCGGTTGTTACTCAGCGACTGGTTTTACATCCCGGACGCTCTAACCACTATCGACCGCGTCATACCAAAATACGTTAAAATATGGCATTTGTTGGTCCCTGCCTGGCGCTCGGCATTAATGGGTACAACAAGGACTGGTCGGCTCGGAGTCAGTATAATGTGTCTGAGTGGGGTATTCTTGCTTCACTGCGGCTTGGTATCTCAGTGGGCTAGAACTATAAAACCAGCTTAAGTCTGGGCTAGTACAAGCAGCCGCACATACACATACACACGCATGCACGTCGTCATATGATCGAAATATTCTCAAGCACGACGTTAAACCCAAACTCAACTCACCTCACCTCACCTCACCTCACCTCACCTCACCTCACCTCACCTCACCTCACCTCACCTCACCTCACCTCACCTCACCTCACCTCACCTCACCTCACCTCACCTCACCTCACCTCACCTCACCTCACCTCACCTCACCTCACCTCACCTCACCCACCTCACCTCCACCTCACCTCACCCTCACCTCACCTCACCTCACCTCACCTCACCTCACCTCACCTCACCTCACCTCACCATTGTTGATATGTACCCACAAAATTGCAGCCTGCGATCATCTCTTAAGACCAGAATACAAACATGTTCAGTCAATGTCTCATTACTCTTGTCCGATTCGGATAAAACTTTTTCATTCACAAACTTTTGTTAAACAGTGACAAGTATGACAACGAACGAGACGAGTCATGGGTTTCCAATGGATGAGAGAACTAAAGACGATATACATGTGGACAAAGAGTCTGCAGATCAGAGGGCCAAATGGAATTCACGTATTGAATACATCCTCTCCCTTGTTGGCTTTTGTGTTGGATTCGGGAATTTGTGGAGGTTCCCGTACGTCTGTAACAGAAATGGCGGAGGTATCAGAAACAATCTCTTTCTGTAGTGATTAAGCACAGTATGTGGCTATGATTACACATTGCCATTTAGAAAGAGGTCAAATGTGAATATGTTATATTTGGGATTACACTTTCTTAGTAAAGTACAAATTCTAGTACTTTTGGGTTGAGTCGCATCTGCGATTCGAACCCACACCCTCAGAGTCAGGCACCTAGTCGCCAGCACAAAGTCAGCCGCCTGACCCGGTCAGCCGTCGCGACTTCCAGTATGTGGATCTGACATTGTTTGATCTGGCTGCGATACTGTTGATAGCAAGTTATATATATTTCCTTATTTTGTACATTTTGCCAGGGTTGTGTGGTAGCCGGCTGGTTCGAGCGTTTGCTCGTCACACCAAACACACAGGTTCTATTCCCACGATGTGTAAAGCCCAGTTCTGCTGCCCCCTATATATGTTGCAGGTATATAGATGTGTTAAAAGCGGCGTAAAACTATTCACTCAATCTATACCATAATATGTATGTATTTACGCTCAACGATATATATTTGAATTTGAATTTATTTGTTGTAAATTACTAAACGATAAGCGATTGAAACTGCCTTTGGATGTTACAAATTGCCTTCGAATATGTTCTGACACCCACGTTTGGTTGTTTGTTTTACTCCACAGGCGCCTTCCTGCTGCCGTTCCTACTCTGTATCTTAATCATTGGGTTCCCCGTGTTCTTCTTGGAAGCCTCACTGTCTCAGTTCTCCGGGAGGGCGACTCCTTGTGTGTGGAGTTTCTGTCCCTATATTCAAAGGTTGGTATGATGTTTATGGATACATTCATTCAAAATTATCGAAGGAAATCAGTTTAAATTATCGAGCAAAAGAGACCCGTGAAAATCCGGGTTAGAATATTGATCTTCAGTAACCCATGCTTGTCGTAGAGGCGACTAACGGGATCGGGTGGTCAGGCTCGCTGACTTGGTTGACACATGTCATCGGTTCCCAGTTTCGTAGATCGATGCTCATGCTGTTGATCACTGGATTGTCTGGTCCAGACTCGAAATATTTACAGACCGCCGCCATACAGCTGGTATGTTGCTGAGTGCGGCGTAAACTCAACTCACTAACTCTACTCACTCGAGCAAGGACATTGCTGTCTGCATCTTGTTTATACATGGAGTCTCCCGAAATAAATTGCTGGAATATTGCTGGAAAGCGGCGAAAAAAATAAAACCACCTAAATGAAAGTCTCAAATGAATGATTGCACTGGTAGATCGTTTGTACTGCCTCCAAGGAGGCAAACAAACGTTTCTAGAAACATGTAGTCAGATTCTTGTGACCATTTGTCATGGAAACAGGAGTTGGTGTCGGTGCCCTGGTGATGTACGTCGCCTGCATCCCGTCCAACAGCATCCTCCTGGCCTGGCCCATCTACTACATGGTCAAGTCCTGCTCCAGCGTCCTGCCCTGGACAACTTGTGGCAACGACTGGAACACCAACCTGTGTGTGGAAGACGTGAGGAACGTCACCTACAGCAGCCACAACGGAACAAGTGCGGATGATAACATTACTGCTGGTGCCACACAACGCTGGGAAAATGTCACTCTAGGTCATACAGCGGCCGAGGAATTCTGGCAGTACGATAATTCCTTGGGGGCCATAGTTTGAATTAGTCGTTGGCCCGTTGTACTTGTTGTTATTCGGCAATTTTTTTAATACCTATTAAATCACAGTGACATGACAAAATACAAAATTGAACTTTGTGATTTCAATAAAGTTATAGTTGAGGTGTTCAGTAACAAGACCGTGTTGTTGCATCTGATCCCTGAAGGGAAACTCACAACCACTAATGCAAATGAGCTCAGCACACGCTTAAAATGCCCCTGACACACCTCGCTGAGGACCAAAGCATGTGTTAATCAACAAAACTCTCAAACGGTGATACCATGTACCGGTTCAGTCCAGCTGTTTCCATCCTTGTTTCAGGTACAATGTGCTGAGTATATCTCGAGGTTTGGAGGAGGTGGGCTCTGTCCAATGGCACATCGTGGCTTGTTTGTTCGCTTCATATGTCATCATATTTCTGTGCATGATTCGCGGGGTCAAGTCCGTGGGCAAGGTAAAACGTATCATATCAGTATTAATGAGTTAAATGGCCGAAGAGGGATATGTTCGATGTCTACTTGGCATTGCCAATCAACCAGTGTGTATTCTAATTGCAATCACATTTATCTTATATACAACGCACATTGTTCGCCTGTTAGTTGTCAGAACAATGTCTTTCTGAAATACGGAAGGGTCCTCTATGTTACAGCTCAGTCACAAAGCCTGTATGTTCGCGAGTCTAAACAAGAACACAAGTACATCAGGAAACAACATGGTCACAATTCCCGAACACCCGATCCAATATGGTTGAAAGTACTAAAAGTCAAGATGATAACAACTCCTTGTAGTTGGCATTGGCAATATGTAGCCATCTCACAGATGACATCCTTACCTTGTCAGCTTGCTGATAGGGTTAACTTCTTTGGTCATGTACACAAGGCGTGCGTAGTTCCAATCCCAGCACGGGACTCGGAAATTTTATGGCCGCTGAAATACATCAGTGTGCATCAGTGTATGTACTAACGTCAAGATGGTAACAACTGCTTGTTTTTCCAGGCAGTGTACGTGACGGCAATATTGCCGTACATACTCCTGATCATCATCTTCATCAGCACACTGATTCAACCGGGAGCAGGTTCCGGTCTGTTGTACTACGTCACGCCGGACTTCCGGAAACTACAGGATGTGAAGGTGTGTTCAGCAGAATGTACGGCGCAGACCGTTCTGGCAGGGTTCGGTGGTAGGGCTTTGTAGTAGAATCCCAGGGTTAGCGTTTTGTGGTGGAATCCCAGGGATAGAGTCACGTGGGAGAATCCCGGGGTAACTTCTAGAGGTAGAATTTCGTGGGTAGAGTCATTTAAGTCAAGTGGGTAGAATCCCAGGGGGCAAACTCTTGTGTGAGAATCACGGCTGTAGAGTCCCGTCAAGTGGTAGAATCCTAGGGGCAGAGTCTTGCGGGAGAATCCAATGGTAGAATTTATTCGTAGGATCCGGGTGTAAAGCTTTACAGCAGGGTTATGTAATAGAAATAATGGGGTAGGTAATAGTTTTTTCAGTGGTTATTATTCCCATGCATTTGGTCAAGGTATAAAGCATTATACAGACTTGACTTAAAGTAAAACATTTTCCATAAAAATATAAGTGCTTGTAAGGGATTTTGTTCAAGACAACAAGAGAGTAACTCAAAAATGTCTCTGTGATCATTTAATAATGAACAAGAATTCTTGGTCAAATATTATGAGTTCGGTGTAATTATTATGATGGTAATTATGACAAGGTGTGGCTTGAGGCGTTTCTACAAGTGATGTATTCTCTGGGACTAGGCTGGGGTTCCATTGGCACCGCTTCCAGCTATAACAAGTTCAACGAGCCGTGTCACAAGTAAGTAATGGTCGAAGAGACATGAGGTGCCAGCCTAATCTTTCCTGGGATACCTCTTCATTCGGTATGCAAACATAGACCCGTGCTCATCCGGATTAGATCTTCAGCAACCCATGGTTGCCGTAAGAGGCGACTACGGGATCGGGTGGTCAGCCCGGCTGGCTGACTTGCGTAGATCGATGCTCATGATAATCCACGTCTAATATTTCCTCTCATACCCAAACATTCGCTTCACGTTAACAAGAACAACAGTGGTGCACCATGTCCATTCCCAAACCCTAATGTTTGCTATATTTCTAAGACCATAGGAGTAAAAGTGTCGCCAAATTGAGAGACCATTTTGCGAGACCGACTATTTTGAAGGCACGAGTTTAGGAATTGCACGAAATTGCGTGTCCGCCTTCAGTGTCACCTGGGTGTGATGACACACAACATTTTCCCAACGATGTGGGAACGTTGTAGATTGGTAACGTCATGACACAACGTTAGTATTACGTCATTTTATAACGTTATGTCACCAGGTAATACCAACGTTGCAAATTTACGCTGAGGAAACGTTATGCTTTGGGCGCTTCTTATAACTGGGTGCCATGAGCGTTTTATGTAAAGCTTTCACTTTGAGATTCTTTCTTCAATATAAAGCTACAGCCTCAGAAAACACGACCAAAACAACATCCAAACCGTGAAATTGTCAGCTAGGTAGGCTGATCATAACGCATTCCTCGTCAGTGAAAGACGTCAACCCTCTGTGAAACTAATGAGTGTTCAGCCCAATTAACTAGAGACATATCCTTTAGTGAACAATTGTCGATGCTCTCAGATGCACCTTAGTTTATCTTATATCATGCTCAAGACAAAGAGGCTTGATATTCCTAAGATGCCCCACATTGTGGGATGTAAATATGACGTCATTCCAACCGTGGCGTCACGTCACATTTAACTAGAAATATATCCTTTAGTGAACAAGTGTCGATGCTCTCAGATGCACCTTAGTTTATCTTGTATCATACTGAAGACAAAGAGGCTTGATATTCCTAAGATGCCCCACATTGTGGGATGTACGTATGACGTCATTCCAACCGTGGCGTCACGTCACAGTATCATTAAGTCATGTAGGGATACTTTGCATGTGGATTTGTCATAATCCACTCTTAATTTCTCTTTGACGTTTATCATAAGATATGTTTATTCGGGGTCAAGGTGGCGAAGATAGAAGACAAATAATAATCCCCAGTGAAACTTGAACTAGCGTCCGCCAGAAGATTGCACACAAGATCAGTTGTATCTATTTCTGATAGGGACGCCATCATAGTGAGCACGATATCTGAAGGTACAAGCATCTTTGCCGGCCTGGTGACTTTTGGCATCCTTGGAGTGATGTCTGAGAAAACTGGCGTCCATATTACGGATGTAGTTTCCAGCGGTGAGTAAGGTGCTTAGTTTGCTTTGGGTATTTTTTATCTTACGCCCAGGTTTAAATCTAGTGAACACGAAAAGGCGACATCCTGATGTCCACGAAAAACACCAGCTGCAGCTGTTTCACTACAGCTTAAATGTCAAGCTGTGAACAGCTGTATGTATGAGCCCTTTAAATACCTATGGGCGGCCACTATGGTCGTACGTTCAGAAAACATAGACTAGGAACTTGGGAAATGGTCAAAATGGTGATGACATTGTAAAGTGTAATCGCGTTAGATCAATTTGTAACTTTCAAAGCAATGGTCTATTGTTTTAAATAAAACTTGACTTTGTTCTTGTACAACCGTACATGGTTGCATGATAATACAGAAAATGAAATTCCGTTATCAGTCTCTGACATCCCATACTTATATTATATACACAGACATATTATATATGATGAACGTTTATTACAACCATAAAGTCTTATGTACTCATTCAAGGATAAAAAGTACACAAGGATAATAACAGAAGAAAGTTTATACAATACTGTTATCCTATCGTGATGAAGGTCCAGGACTAGGTTTTGTAGCCTACCCAGAAGCTCTGGCGCAACTTCCGGTGCCTCAGTTGTGGTCCTTCCTGTTCTTCCTCATGCTTCTTGCTGTGGGCCTGGATTGTCAGGTGGGCGTCTCCATTTTGCCATATATGAGTACATTACGTGAGTATGCAACATTGATCATGAACGTTGTGAGGACAGACAAGCCGTAGTCTCAACAGGCAAGTTTTGAATGCAGACGTTTATATAAACGAAAACTAAATTTAAAAAAAATGATAAGAAATCACTGTTAAAAGGACACTCCTTTGTACTTCACCAGCATGTTTTAAGAATATCACTCCGTAATGATACTAGGTGTCCACACTCCTGACACGTCATAAATACATGCAAAGACAAGTCAAGTAGTTACGTACATTAACACTCACTAATAGGTACAAAAAGAAAATTGTTTCAAAATGAAAGTGTCCTCCATATGTGTGCCATACGAGAACATCACATATTAAGAAGAAAGCGTTAGACAAGGCTGTAATAGCCCTCGTAAAGGAAATACATGATTGGTAAGTTTAGTGACATTGGGTATAATTATTTGGCCGAACAAAGCGGACGCAGACACATTTCACACAGTGCAAGGGTGTCATTATATTTTGTCTTGGGGCCATTACCTCATCACAGGAAAGGCAGTGGGGTGGCCTAGTGGTTAAAGCGTTCGCTCATCACGCTGAAGGTCCGGGTTCGATTTCCCAAATGAGTACACTGTGAGATTGCTGGAATATTGCTAGAAGCGGCGTAAAACCATACTCACTCACTCAGTCATGACAGCTGATTGGAGGACTACTAATGTACATTTTTTGCTTTCAGTTCATGAACGTGGAGGTCATCACAACAGCCCTTGTAGACAAATACCCGAAAGCTCTGTCACGAAAGCGTTGGCTTGTAACCGCTGGTGTATGTGTGATATGCTTTCTTGCAGGAATCTTACTCTGCACGCAGGTAAGATTTACGTTTGGCCCTCGCCTTATGGCTTCGGACATGGTACCGGTGCGTTGAAGCTCCACGTGGAACAAATTCTATGACCTAGTTATGATGCCCTCAAAGGACTGGTTGGTTGGTTGGTTGGCCGGCTGGTTTAACGCCGCACACAGAAATATTCCAGCTGTATGGCGGCGGTCTGTAATTAATAGAGTCTCTGGACCAGACAATCCAGTGATCAACAGCATGAACATCGATCTACGCAATGGGGATACAATGACATATGTCACCCAATTCAGCGAGCCTGACCACCCGATTCCGTTAGTCGCCTCTCACGACAAATATGGGTTGCTGATGACCAATTCTAACCCGGATCTTCACGGGGCAGGATGCGTGGATATTCATGACCATCATCATCATCACCGTCGCCATCGCCGTTGCTAGTTGTTGTTGTTGTCGTTGTTGTTGTTGTCGTCGTCGTCGTCGTCGTTGATGTTGTTGTTATTGTTGTTAGGATTTTTATTGCGGTTTCAGGGCGGCCCATACACCCTTCAGCTCCTGGACTGGTATATAAGTGCTTTATCAGTCTTTCTGTTCTGCACACTGGAATGTGTTACCGTGGTCTATATCTATGGTGAGCTACATTTCAAATCATTACCACATGAATGCCTATTTCTCTGGGCGTTACTATCTCTGATGCAGTTAGCACAAAATATAAATAGTAAGTTAGTTTATCCTACGATATGTATTTCCGCTGACTAAGGAGATATACTGAGGGAAAGAAATAAGGGATCACATGAAAGGACAAGTGTTCCTTAGTTTTTCCAAGGTTTCTTCACAAGCTTTGTATCGCATAGCTTGTGAAGAACCTGGAACAAATAAGGGAGCACTTGTGCTTTCATGTGATCGCTTATTTTTTCCCTCAGTATATATTTTTTTTACATTTTCTTCTGTTCTATTTCTTGTGGTAAATATAGCAACGTTTTCGTGTTGAACAGCTGGACATGCCTTTAGGTCAGCACGATATCTATTTGTAATTTTATATGAAGCTGAACAAATCATACCTGGTTTGCTGTTAAACTTTGTGTATGTGCACTATACGATGTCATACATGTATTCCAGGAGTGAAGCAGATGAGCAAGGATGTTGAGATGATGATTGGAAAACCACTTCCGATCGTCGTAAAGATCTTTTGGGCTTTCGTCATACCAGCAGTGCTCCTTGTAAGTGATCGAAGGTTGTTAATAGAGATTGGAAATCAATTTCTTACCTTTTGCTTATAGCACGAACATCAGGGCTAATTGTGGTCAATTTGATCTATGTTTTAAACATTAAAAATGATAATTATTTTAGGTATAAAACTTATTTGCCCAATTGTCCTTCTTCAGCTGATTCCTTTCATGAGGATGTATGACAAAGTATGGATTTCCCTGAGGTGTTCAGAATG